ATTAGCCAAAGCCCCAACTGCCGCCTCAGTAAGCACAGGGCTTTGTAGTGCAAGTGATTTACGTGTCATCAGTACCAGTCAATAAACATAAATAGCTTAACTGTCTCAGGGCTGCAGCTAGCACGGCACCGTCCCAGGGCGAGTTAGAGGGTACTGCTGCTCTGCTTTTGTACGGTTCTGAGACGCAGCCCCAGGCCGGGAGTTAGAAGACCTGGCTCTGCCCTGACACTGGGGCATCACTTCCCTCCTCTGTAAAATGAGACGGCTGGACCTGGTTACCTCCAGGATCGCTCTTCCTTTTGTGATCCTTGGAGGCAAGCATAAAATGCAAGGACAAAGTGTGCTCACTGGGAGCCTGCCCATTACACAAAGGCGCTCTTGGTCTGCTTCTGAGCACTTGCTAATGGTGCTGCTGCACAGAAGCCGGGATGACTATCCCATGAGACTCAGACCCTTCCTCCCAAAGGCTTTGTGGCTTGAGAAACATAAAGGATGTATGTAGCACCGAGTACTGAACACTGCAGTGTAATTTATTCCAAGCATGGGCTCATAACTGCAGGCACACCCACACGCTGCACTGACAGAGTGTTTTGTTTCTAAAGTTGACCCCTTATGTCATCCAAATTTCACTCCTTCTGACCACGGCCAGGAAGCTGGGGTTGAGGCCAGAATTAGCTGAAACCCACCAAAAGCAGAGGTAGCTGAACAGAGCAGGGTCTAGTTGATGGCTTAGGGCGTATACGAAATGCCACTGCTTCACTCCTTTACTTAAGGGATTTCTGAGTGCAATTTAGAAACATCCAGCACACTTGGGACGCTTGAGTGTCAGACCCCTCACCCGTATACAATCAATGGAATTCATAAATACTTTACGTGAGCCCTTTCACGCCTGTAAAGAGCCGTATTTCCCTCTGGTTGATGGCACAGACCCTACAGGAGAAACCGCACTTTCCCACTTCTAAGCATCATCACTGCAAAAGGGAGTGCTCGAGCCAATCACCACGGAAGCAAGACAGAAAAAGAGGGATGGGGAGGATCTTGCCTGCCCATCTCAGCTCCACCCGTCGAGAGTCACAGGGAGTTTATGACTCCATCACACAGACTGCTTTTGAAGTACGTCCAACGTAAAACACCCAGCAAAGAGCACAGGACGGTGTAGACTGACCAACTCATTAAGAATAGAAGCGACCTTAGAGACATTCTAGTCCAACCTCAGTTCTTAGTTGCTACTCAGAGGCTCATGCAGCGGTGAGACTTATAACAGGTCACCTGGCCAAGACTATGTGGAGCCGCACTAGGTTGGCCTCAGCGGTGCCAAGAGATGAGGACCACCTGCCTGTCCTCTTCAACCCTGACACAGCCCATGGCATCAGTAGCACCTCTTTAAAATCCACAGGACAATGATCTGAAACTTACTCCTCACATAATCTTACGAGATCTTTCAAAAGGAGTTTCCTTTTTAAAGGACTCAACCACGCTATCAGGAATGAAAGCTTATTAAGAGAATGTAAATTTAAACTATAAGATGGGGGAGTTTGGGGTGACTCTTAGGCAGAATCTTATGATTTTGAAAACTGTGGTAACAGACTGTAAGAAAAGCAAGTCGGAAGGCCGTGCTGGGTTCCCAGTGAACTGAGGGCTCAGAGTCCTGGGTCTCCCTCTTCTGGCACTGAATCTCCTCTTTCCAGAAGCAGGCTTGTTTCCAGGGTCTCTGTAGGTACATGAAAGAATGCCACGGAAACCTCCTGCCCAGCTTTAAAATGAATTTACTGAAATGCTCCCTCAAAGCGGAAAAGTTCATTTAGGAGACCTCCAAATATCACTTATGACCTAAAGCAAGAATCCAAATGATTAGGAGGAGAAACTCAAAGAAGCTCGACATTGCAACCACTGACTGATATTTCTTGCCTTTTTTTTTTTTCAGAATCAAAAAGACCCCCTGGCCGTGGACAAGATAATGAAGGACCTGGACCAGTGCCGGGACGGCAAAGTGGGCTTCCAGAGCTTCTTCTCGCTGATCGCCGGGCTCACCATTGCGTGCAATGACTACTTTGTGGTGCACATGAAGCAGAAGGGAAAGAAGTAGGCCGCGCTGAGCAGTCGCTCCTGCCCTGATAAGAAGTCTCCCAGAGGGTCGCTTAAGGAATCTGCCCCACAGCTTCCCCCTGTATAAGGATTTCCTGAGCAGATTGGGACCCTTAGAAAATGTACAAATAAAACCTAACTCCCATTGGAGAAGCAGAGAGAGAAAAGTCACTTAAAGCCAGATAAGCTTTTGATTTTTATATTGCTTGCATCCTCTTGCCCTCAATAAACCAAATCCTTTTTTAGTTCTGAATTCAAGACAGAACGTTTGTTCCTTCTTCAGAAATGCTTGTCCCTTGCTTCCTTTCACAGAGGGCCCGCGCGCCCTTGGGCGCCTAGCACGAGGCGGAGCTCCGTCCGCAGAACCTGCGAAATGGGAAGCACTCTCCACTCAGGCTTCTGAATTGATCTGCCTGTAGCTGTGTCTAGCTAAGAGAAAAATCTCCAAGGATTAAGAGAAGGCACTTCAGGAATCTAGTCTAATTCTGTAATTACTGAGCATAGTCCTGCCCAGTTAAATCAGCACCTTTCTAACCAGCACGTTGAATACCTGAGACGTCTGAGTCCATTCTTCATAGCAGTTTCAGCAAAAATTCTAGGGTAAAAATAAGTCCATTTAAGACAACTAATCAAAAAACAGTCTAGTGTGATGTGTCAGTAACTGTCACATTAACATTTTCTGAGTTGTCGTGAGATGCTGTGACTATATTGAGATGTCAGGAAGTAGGCGAGGCGTGAGTCATATAACGGGGTAGTGCTTTTGTGTTGCAAGTGAAATGCCGGTATTTATGTCTTGATAAATTGCAAAATGTTTCTCCCAGCCCTTTCTGTGCCTGTTACAAGTTTCAGCATACATGCACTCCACTGCTATTATTATAATAGCTAGGCTTACTAATAATACAATACTCTATATTTTTATGGAGAGATGATGTGTGAATTGGCACATGAAACTGTCCCAATTAAATTGGTCAGTGAAGATGGAAACAACATACTTCTGGGGAAGAGTTCAGTGTAAGGTCATCCACCATCACACAGAAAAGCATGCAAAGGGAAACAGGAGAGTCCAAAGCTAGCTTTGGAGAAAGGATATCTGTAATAAAATCAAGGTCAGAAATAAAATGCCAACCATTGTGCTTTGTCATAGCCAATAAATGAATAGCGTAAGACAGCTGATAGCTTTGTAGCTCTAGGGTTACATCAGCAGATTTACAAAGAGAGGGATTATTACTACATGACATTAGATGGCAGAGGGGAGCTAAAAAATGGACTCCAGAAATGATTCCCAAATCCATGCTGTAGCGTTGGTGGTATAGTGGTGAGCATAGCTGCCTTCCAAATCCATGCTGTAGAACTGGGCCACCGAGGGAGCTGCTGGCTCAGGAAGCTCCCTGCTGAACTGTGAAGCCGTTGCTAAACCTAGCAGCTCCAGAACCACACAACGCATGGCAGAGTCCACACTAACAAGTACACCCATCACCCTGCCTCTCGTTCCCTGCATCTCTGATCTGTACCTCCCAGGACAGCAGGTGGGCCGCCCACTTGCCAGGCCAACTTCCTGTTCGCATCCCCCTAACAGGGACATGCATGGGGGTGGGCGGTGACTTCCTTGTCCCTCAAGAAGGGCACAAAGGGTCCTTGTCACCACTGACCCCAAGATTGTCATCAGCCTGTGGTCCCCCTTTCCTGGTCTTAGGGCAGAATCTTTGGAGACTGCTTCCAGAAAGTATCTGGCTCCTGGGTTATAAATTAATTCCCTGGTCCTAACATTCACCTGGGGTCCCCACCTCTCTGCGTTCTGCCTCTGAGCAGAAGCCTGGGGTCAGGGCTGGGCACTGGATTTATCCATCCCTCCTAGTTAACACCCATCTTTATTTTTGTTTGTTCTTTCCTTGTGTGTATTTCCTAATTTATTCACCTGTTTCCCCTTTTCCCTTTTCCTTTTTTTTAAATTAAAGAGCAAAGCTTTTTATTACTTTGTAATTTTAAAAAACTGAAAAAATTATTGAAGAATTTGGGGGGAAATTTTGTATTTTTTTCCTGTGTAAATACCAGACTCTTGAGCTTTATTGTGGTTGTTAATTTGAAGTAATAAAGTAGAAAAGGATAAAATGGGGGAAAAAATGGTTCCCACATCCATATCTCATAGAAGTGCATCTAATTTGCAAAATCTCAATTACATCAAAACCCTAACTGCAAGGGTGTCTGGGAAATAAAAGTTTCACACTTTCCAGCCTCTGCAGACTAGGAGTTGGCATGCTGGTCCACCATATCTGCCACAGTGACAATTCTAAGAGAAGTCTTCCAACCCATAGATTAAAGAAACTATTGTCCTGAGGGAAAGAGGCCCTAAAAGATAACTTTTGACAGCTGCTGGGAATAGAAAAGCAAGCTGCCCCATCACGGTCGGGCAAACCGTCTCTCTCCTTGAGAACGCGTATCAGCCTGGATTTGCCCTTTTAGTTTACACAACCTGCCTCCTGAGAAAACTGTTTACCAGGTGTTATAAAATTGATGTTCAATTCACAAATGGACAGGTGAAATTGTAACACTGGGACATTATGAGCTTAGATGTTCCCCAACCCATAGCAAGCTTTCATATCTAAGCCTCTTTACCTGAAAACAGAAAGAGAACCATCCCAGGAGAGAGGGCTCCAGAGGGTAGGGGAAAGGAAGTCTCAGCCCAACTTCACAGTGGGTATGTGGATTCAAAACACTTCTAAAGTCATGTATTTTTCCCAGAAGATGGCCTCAGACGCTCTGGCATTCAGATAGGTGCCCAGTGCCAGGGAACTATCTGGGTCACTGTATTTGGGGGGGGGGTGCGTGTGTCTCTGTGTATGTGTGTGTGTCTGTGTGTGTGTATGTGTGTGTGTCTGTGTGTGTCTGTGTGTGTGTGTGTGTGTGTGTGTGTGTGTTGGGCTGGGAGGGGAAGGGAACAATAACACACTTCTCACTTTAGCTCCATGGCTCAAAGCATTTAGTAGGGAGCTGGTACAAGGGGAAAAAAGAAAAGGGAATTTATGGTTTGAAATCCTACATGGCTCTTCTTGCCAACAAAAACACACGGCTCCCACAGTCTGACCTGCTCAAACAGCCATCTAGGCTTTAGGGGCTGAAGCCTAATGGTTCCCCAGGGGCAAAGCTGCAGTTATGCCAACAGCCATCAAGAGGAACCAACCGGAAAATTCCACTCATTCTGCCACATGGCTGAGTTGTAAAGCAGATCCCGCCCCTCTCCGCACCCAGTTAGGAAGGAAGAATGGATAGCAGTACAGAAAGTCAGTTTCAAACACGCTGCAAAGCTGACCCTGAATAACCTCATTTTCTCTCTTGGACCCTGAACATGAGCCAGTTACCTGTGACTTAATACTTTTCTACCCACCTCATCTCAGTGCGAGACCAAGGGCCATTATGTAGACCCCTCTCTCAATATGACCAATTTAAAGTGACTGTCTACATACCTTCCTCGGCTCTAAAACACAGAGGGATAGTTGTGAACAGAAATGCATTCATTTGGCAAGTATTTACAAGGACTACTATGAGAATGACACCAAGAAAAGTTCTGTGGAAGATATAAAAAAGAGAACAGAGCCTGCTCAAGGAGCTCACAATCTGGTTGAAAGATAATAGATGAAACAGCAAAAAGTTAAACAGCAACACAACAGAAGAGGCAAAGGTGAGATGTGATGGACACCCTTAGTCACTGTTGGTAAGAATACAATTTATACAGCTTTCCAAGGAGGCAAATGTTGGCAGTAGGTACGTTTTCTTGGATCTAGTGTTTCTATTCCTAGGCATTTATCTTAACAAAATAATCAAAGATAGTGACAAAGATTCATATATAAAGATACTTGGTTTTTTGGTTTTGTTTTTATTGAAGTATAGTTGATTTACAATGTTTCAGGTATGCAGCAAAGTGATTCAGTTATACATATATGAGTGTGTACGTGTGTGTGTGTGTGTGTGTGTGTGTATGTTCTTTTTCAGATTCCTTTCCATTATACGTTATTACAAGATATTGAAATATATGCTATATTTCAGGACCTGTGCTATATAGTAGGACCTGATTGTTTATCTACTTCATTTATAGTAATTTGTATCTGCTAATCCCAAACTCCTTATTTATCCCTCCCCACTCTTTCCCTTCTGGTAATTCTAAATTTGTTTTCTATGTCTGTGAGTCTGTTTCTGTTTTATAAATAAGTTCATTTTATATCTTTTTTTTAGAGTCCACATATAAGTGATATCATATGGTATTTGTCTTTTATGTCTGACTTATTTCACTTAGTATGATAATCTCTAGGTCCATCTATGTTGCTGCAAATGATATGATTTTATTCTTTTTTATGGCTGAGTAATATTCCATTATATATACACATATATCTTATATCTTCTTTATCCATTCATCTGTCAATGGACACTTAGGTTGCTTCCATGTCTTGGCTATTATAAATAGTGATGCTCTGAACATTAGGGTACATGAATTAGACTTTCTCTAGATATATGCCCAGGATAGGATTGCTAGATCATATGGTAACTCCATTTTTAATTTTTTAAGGAGCCTCCATATTCTTTTCCATAGTGGCTGCACCAATTTACATTCCCACCAACAGTGTAGGAGGGTTTCCTTTTCTCCACACCCTCTCCAGCATTTATTATTTGTAGACTTTTTGATGATGGCCATTCTGATTGGTGTGAGGTGATACCTCATTATAGTTTTGACTTGAATTTCTCTAATAATTAGCAATGTTGAGCAGCTGTATGTCTTCTTTGGAGAAATGTGTATTTAGGTGTTCTGCCCATTTTTTGATTAGGTTTTTTGTTTTTGATATTGAACTATATGAGCTGTTTATATATTTTGGAAATGAATCCTTTGTCATGCACAACGTTTGCAAATATTTTCTCCCATTCCATAGGTTGTCTTCTATTTTTGTTTATGGTTTCCTTACCTACAAAGATATTTGATGCGGTATACTTTAGAAGAGTTAAATCCTGAATACAACCTCTTTGTGCAACAATACAGTTGTGGTTAAGTAAGTCTAGATGTACATGGGATACTGTATGACTCACAAAAATCATGACTTTGAGGAATATTAAATAAGATGGGGACTTGTCTATGTAAAGCAAAACAGACAGCAAAATTGGTATATAACGGATTTCCCTTCTTTTTTAAATACGCGTGACTGCACAGACACACAGAAAAAGACCAAAAGAAATACACCCACCTGTGTTTCAGTTTCCAAGGTAGGAATTGCTAGCTGGGGAAAAAGCTGTCTCCAGGAAGAGGTTTATGGGGTTATTTTTATTTTCTTCTCTGCATACTGCTATGTTACCCAAATTTTCTACAGTAATTCTACTTTTACAACCTAGAAAACAAAATTCCAAATAATATTTTTAAAAAGAGCATGTGTACTTATTTAGGGCCTACCATGAGTCCAGACCTATATGAGATACTTCTTAAGCATTATATTTAGTCCTCACAATAACCCTGTTAAGGTATTATGATATCCATTCAAAGATGACAAAACTAAGACTCAAGTAACGCTCTCAAAGTTAGTGGCAATGTCAAGATCTGAACTCAGATACTGTCTTTCTTTCTACTCTGCAGCTGTGTCAAAGTAGGAGTAAATTAAATATCAAACATGTTAAACATTCAAAAGGGTAAGAGATCACTGTGAGCGGGGCAAGACTAGTCAGAGAAGATTCTGTGTAAGAAGTAGAATCTTGTCTTTGAATATTAGAAAAAATTTGGATAATGGCTAATATATACTGAGCTCTTACTGCAATCCAGGTTCTGTTCTAGTGCTTTACAAACAGTAACACATTGCTCCTCCCAGCAACTTACGAGGTGGGTGCTATTACTGTACAGGCAATTTGCCCAGGGCACAGAGCCAGTAAGTTGTGCAGGCAGTCTCAACCTAGACCTTCTAAGGTTTTTCACCACTGTTTCCTGCTGCATCTCTGGATGTGGTAATGACAGCACAGAAGAACATCCAGAGCAAAGAGCATCTGGGCATGGTCAGCAGGCCGGAATGGAGTGTGCTCATGTGAGGAAGCGCGTGTAGGTGGGACAGGGAAGGTAGGAGGTGATGAGAGAATGGTAACTGGGAAACAGTAAATGACAAGGGAAGTATGGTGGGTGAGGTCACCGGATTAAACAATACAAATCTAAGGTTTGGGTTATCGCTACTCCTTTGGGAGACAGAGATGAGCCTCTGGGTGGGGTTGGGGGGGAGGTAATCGGCAGAAAAATGTGTTCCTGTGAATGTTCTGCTCGCTTTCCTCCAGCTCCCTCATTCCAATCGCATTCCAGCTTACAGAAGATAAAGCTGGGTGGGGATTTTTGTTTATCTTTCTAAGAAGCCCTGAGAACAGAGAAGGAAGATGTCGGGCCGCAAGGTCCGGGTGAGAAAGCTGCCTCCACAGAACACAAATTCATTTTATTTCCCACCAAGATTCCCACTGAGCTGCAAAATGGTATGTTCACTCTGACTGTAGCTACCCGGTGTTTTTTTAGGGCAAAGTCTGGAAGGGGTTATGAAAAGACAACCCCTTTTTGTGGTCATGTTACTAAAGTTTCCTTTAACATTAATACATCATCCTTTCAATAAGATTGACCAAACGCGGAAAAAGATATTTCAATTAGCTCTCTGGACACAGACCTTGTACTGCTCAATGTCAAAATCCTATCTGTCACGTCACCCAAAGCCGCTAGTCAATGAGCAGCCCCTGCATTGCAGGTTCTTCCCGCAAAGGTTCAGCCTGTTCCTTTCACCCTCTTCTGGGCACATCCATCAAGGCTCTGCTGAGCATTAATAGCACTTAGCCGCGAGCCTGTTTTTCTAGAAGGAGGGAGATGATTCAGCTTTGGTCTCTGCAGGGAGGACTCTGCCCTGTCCTACCCATCCCGGGTGAGTCAGCACACAGAGCCAGGTTTCTTGGCCTTCTTACAAATTTTACAAAAACTGAAATTTCCTTTCAACGGTGTGATTGAAAGCACTGCAGGAAGTAAAGCGAATGACACAGAGAATGCGGTCACTGGCCAGCAAAGGGTCTACAGTCTGGCGGGGCGAGAGCTGCGCGCATCCGCATCGCAGCAACAGCACGCGACAGCGGGTGGGGTAAATGTGGGGTATAGCAGCAGCTCCGGTGGGGCCGGCGCTGAGGGCTGGGGCTCCTGGAGGAAGGACGTTGGCCAGAAAGGACCGAGAGGAAGATCCGCTTTGGGCAGGGCAGGCTGGGAAAAGCAGAGAGGAACACACAGAAAATGTGGGAAAGGCAAGAAGGAACGGAGCGAGTGGAGGAGCTGTGAGAGGCCTGGGAAGCTGGGACCCCAGACGGGCGGGCTGTCGGGCGGGGGAGGGGCATGGACGTCCCGCAGCTAATGGGGGTGGGGGCTGCAGGTAGGTTTGATCAAGGTGTTTCAGCGAAGGAGGGGTATATTTCAGGGCAATTAAGGTGACACAAAAATGACAGATGTGGGAGAGACTAGAGAGAGACCCAAGTAAGAGCCTACTGCTAACTGGGCAGTCATGAAAAAACTGAGGAAGATCTCAATGTACTGATCTGGAATGGTCTCCAGGATGCAGTGCTAGAGTGAAAAATAAAGTACAGGATAGTGTTCATCTGTCCGTCTGTACATCTATTAAACTACCATTTGTGGGGAAATGACAGGAGAGAACATATGTGCATAATGACTTAAATATGCAAAAAAAAAACCTCCAGAAAAATATACAAACAGCTGATGAAACTGGATGCTTCCTAGAACGAACAGGACGTCCGGGGGAAACAGGAATTGGGAGGAGACTATTTATGTGTCTGTCCTTTTGTATCATTAGAGTTTGAATCCATGTAAAGATACAAAAAAATTAGTAAAATTATACTTTAAAAAATAATTTGTTGCCTTTAAAAAGTATTTTTAAGAATTTTCCTGTCTTTAGTAAATATATATTGTTTTTAATAATTAAAGCTTAACTTTTTTTTAAAGGTTTTATGTGCCTATTGTAATAATCTGAGTCAGAGAAGTTAAGGTTTGGACTAGAGCACTCGAGGCAGGAATATGAGGATGAGGTGGATGAAAACATCTCATTTCAGGGTCCCCTAAGCCTGTGCTTCTCGCACTGCGGCCAAGGGGGTTGATGAGGGGCAGTGGCAGAGTTTACTCAAGTTATAGCCTAAGCGGGGAGCACTTTTCTGGAGCGCTCACTTTACTTGATGGAGTCATTTAAAAGAGTTTCGTATTGAAACAGATAGATCGTCAGTATAAAACATAGGACTTCAAAGAAAACTTCCCCCCTACAGGGTGTTCCTTTTGGCTGCACTTTTTGGATATCCCCCAACACACACACACACACACACACACACACACACACACATACACACAAACACACAAACACACATGGGCAGGTGTTCATTTTCCTCTGGCAGCACTTTGGAGGGCCTATTTGAGAAGCCCCCACTGGCAAGCCCACGCCATGCAAACGGCCCCACGTGGCAAGCTTCCAGCATCCTGACACCCTTTCTGCCTTTTGACCCCCACCATTTACCCCAACCCTCTGGACTCCTCACTCTCCCATCCCCCAGCATCCGACCTCTTTCTTTGCTCATGCTCTTATTTACAGCCCCACTTTACCTTTAGGACTGAAGCATACCCACACTTCACATGTTAACAATCCTGACTTCTCTCGTTAACACAGATTTTCCAGGACCACCCTGAGAAATCGAGGCCCTTTCACACTACTGCAGCCTCCTAGGGGGCAGCGCTCCCGCCAGGCATTCTCAGGCTGAAGAATGAGGGAGGGCACGACTCATTGGTAGAGCGCGTACTTAGCACACATGAGGTCCTGGGTTCAATTTCCAGTACTTCTGTTAAAAAACAAACAAGTAAATTAAATAAACCTAACTACCTCCCAAAAAATCCAAAAAAAAAAGGTCTTTCAAAAATGTAACAAGACTCAATGCCTGATTTAAATGGATAGAAAATAGAAGTATTAGATGCACTTTCAAAATCTATGCAAGCTTGACCCCTGGGGCTCAGGGCTGGGTGGCAAATTTCCAAAAGAAGCCCAACTGCCATGAATCATGATATATGAGAATTTGTCTAAACCAAATCCTAACTGGGACCTGGCATTAGCCCACACATTTTGCATATTCCCTGCTGGGACCTGCCACCAATAGTGTGGGTCAGGTGTGTGACCTTGTCCATTCCTGTGGCCTCCACTTACACTTCACGGACCAGGTTTTGGGCTCTTATCCCTCCCCCACTGGCCTCCAACTCTCAGTCAGGGCCTGGTTCCGCCTTCTCAGCACTGACCACTCATCACAGTGGGAACAGGGAGAGGGAGGAGCCAAAGGAGCGCTTGAGCGGACAGAAGATTGAGACGTCCATTGACACCATCACAGAACCATGAGGGAGGGGCTTTTGAGCACCGTGATGAGGACACTTGGGAGGTAGTTGGTCCAACAGTTAATGTCAAGCAGACCTGTCCTTAAATCCTTCCTGTTATTGTCAACTTTATGACATATTGATAAGACTGGGTACCATCTATTGCCCATTTTCTATTGGCAGAGTTCCTAATATGCTTTATCTCATTTAATCCTCACAGCGATTCTTCGAGTTGAGTATTCTTACTTCCCTATATTACAGATGAAGAAACTGCGCTGTAGAGAAGTTAACTAATTTGTCCAAAGTCACACAACTTTTTAAGTGGTAGGGCTGTGATTCCCACCCAGGTCTGACGCCGAAGTCGATGCCTTTAGCCAAATAACTACTGAGTAGCCAGGGAAGAAATCAGAAGTCAGATTCTTTCCTCAGCCACGTCCAGTCTACTAATAACCTCATCCAAGACAATCTTCTAGGCTCATTAAAAGATGTTCTTCCCCATACCCTTCCCTCCCCAGTGAATCTTCTGCCCATTCATTGTTACACTCTATGTAATCAACCAACAAAAGAAACTCAGGGCAGCCACTCACCTAAGCCTGCCCGCTTTCCCCTTGAGAGTGTACTATCCATCCCTTAGTAAATCCCCACTTTACTTCCTTAACCACCGTGTCTTGTCTCTGAATTCTTTCTGCGATGAGGCAAGAACCTAAACACTGGCAACCGAATGAGCCGGCAGAAGAAATGATGGAAAGAAGCTCTAGGAGAGAGCAGATGACTGATGGAGTAAAATCTCTGAGACGTCAGGGAGGAATGAGAACCAGAGCACAGGAGGAGGGATTAAGCTAGGAGGGGAAGAGGGATGTGTAATCCACTTGAAAAGGAGAAAAGCAAGAAAGAATCAGTGTAGGTTAGATATTACGCCATTTAAAACTTAGAAAGCTCTCCAGGATGGGTACTGTTTTCCCCACTTTTCAACTGACCCGGGAAAGCTGGATTACTTGCTCACAGTCACAGAGGAGGACCTAGGTCTTCTGACTCCTAGCTGCTTGGAACCCAAACTGTGATGCTCATTTGCCCAAAGTATTTTGAAAGCTTAAGTTCTCCATAGGAAATGCCCTGAAAATGACTGAAATTTAGTAGGTTCTTGTTTTATGACTTGATAAGCCAGAGTGGAAACAGCTTTTACTGGAACAAATACGTGGTGCCATTTGGTAGAGATCTAGTGAAAGAGGCTGCCCTTAATTAATGTTTGACCAACTCGGTACCAAAGGTCTGACTTTCCTTCCTGAGCAAGAGTTGGCTAGAATAAACAACCTTGCTTCGGCCTGTGTGTGTGGCTGCGAAGCACCAACATGCTTGTTTTTAAAATTATCTCCTTTATTCCTCCTAACAATCTCACCACACGGATATAATTGGGTTCGTGTTACAGATGAGAAAACTGAAGTTTAAAGAGGTCAAATAACTTGCTCGAGGCCACAGAGTAGGTGGTGAAGTAAGAACCGAGCCCAAGTCCTTCTGACTCCAAAGCTCTTGCTCTTTCAATAAAGCGTTGCTTCATGTAGCTTGAGGGAAGGGAGGGACCTGCTGGTTGGAAGATGAATTAGGAGGCTTTGTAATATCCCCTGGCATATAACCTGTCTACCAGGATTTTTTCCTTCTCCGTTCAGACTCCTAAACTTAAATTAAGAGACAGTAGCAGGACTCATGATAGTCTATATTTATATAGTGCCAACTCTATGCCAAGCATTGTCCTAGGTGCCAGAGACTTAATCCTAGAGATAGATCCTCTTCTTGTCTCCATTTTACACAGGAGAAAAGCGGAGGCACAGAGAGGCTGAGTAACTTGCTCAAGGTTACAGGACCTGTAAATAGCAAAGCCAGAATTTGAACCCAGAAAATCTGGCTCCTGAGTGCAGGCTCTTAAACAATTATGATACTGCCTCGCAGGCAGGGACTGCTGGTCTCTAATGAGAAGAATGACTAGACTTGATTCTCAAAAAACATCTTTCAAAATTTGTAGATACTGACAGGCATATGTAGAATAGATAAACAAGATTATACTGTATATAGCACAGGGAAATATATACAAGATCTGTGGTAGCTCACAGTGAAAAAAGTGCGACAATGAATATATGTATGTTCATGTATAACTGAAAAATTGTGCTCTACACTGGAATTTGACACAACACTGTAAAATGACTGTAACTGAATTAAAAAAAACGCCTTCCTAGAGTTCTGTACCTCATGAAATTACCCTTCAAAAGTGAAGGAGAAATAAAGATTTCCTCAGAAAATAAAAAAGTAAAGGAATTTGTTGCCAGTAGGTCTGCCTTGCAAAAAATGTTGAAATAAGTTCTTTAGGGAGAAGGAAAATTACATAGGTCAGAAACTGGCTTTGAAAGGAAGAAAGAAAGAGGGAAAGGAAGGAAGGAAGGGAGGGAGGGCACAGAAAAGGAATAAACAAAGATAATATCACAACTTTTATTTTTCTTATCCTTAATTGATCTGCCTGAAAATAAGGTGCTCAAAATAATAATAGCAACAATGTTATTAATTATGCAGCAGGAAAAAAATCAATAAGGACATAGTTGAATTCAGCAGGTCCATCAATCAACCAAATATAAATGACATCTATACACGACTTCATCCAACAACAGATTACACATTCTTTTCAAGCTCACGTGGAACACTCACCAAGATAGACCACATTCTGGGCCATGAAACACACCTTAACAAATTGATAAGAACAGAAATCATAGAGTGTCTGCTCTCAGACCACAGTTACATTAAACTAGAAATCAATAACAGAAAGATAGCTGGAAAATCCTAAAATACATGGAAATTAAATGAAACGCTTCTAAATAATGCATGTGTCAAAAAAGAAATCTCAAGCAAAATTTTAAAATATTTTGAATAAATGAAAATAAAAACATAATTTATCAAAATTTGTGGGATGCAGTGAAAGAGGTGCTCAGAGGGAAATTTATAGCATTGAATTATATATTAGAAAAGAAAAGAAGTCAATCATTTAAGCTTCCATTTTAGGAAATTAGAAAAAGAATCCCTAATATCTCCACTAACAAAGAAAGAAAGAAAGAAAGAAAGAAAGAAAGAGCATTTGACAAAATTCAATACCTATCATGATAAAAGCTATCAGTAAACTAGGAATAGATATGAACTTTCTCAACTTGACAAAGAATATCTACCAAAAAACCTACAATTAACATCATAATTAATGGTGAGAATTAAGTAACTTTCCCACTGAGATCAGGAATAGGCAGGATGTCCCTTCTCACCACCATTTTTCAACTTCACACGGGAAGTCCTAATGCAACAAAACAAGAAAATGAACTAAAAGGTATACAGATTGGGAAGAAAGAAATAAAACTGTCTGTTGCAGATGATATAATCACGTATGTAGAAAACTCAAAAGAATCGACAAAACCTCCTAGAACTAATAATTGCTTATAGCAAAGTTGCAGGATACAAGGTTAATATATAAAAGTAAATTCTTTCCTATATGCCAGCAATGAACATGTGGAATTTGAAATTAAAAATACAATGCCATTTACAATAGCAACCCACTAAAATGAAATACTTAGGTACAAATTTAACAAAATATGTACAAGATCTATAAAAGGAAAACTACAAAACTTTGATAAAAGAAATCAAAGAAGAACTAGAATAAATGGAGAAATATTCCACATTCATGAATAGGAAGACTCAATACTGTCAAGATGTCAGTTCTTCTGGACCTGGAGGGTATTATGCTTAGTGAAATAAGTCAGACAGAGAAAAACAAATACGGTATATTTTCACTTATATGTGGAATCTAAAAAATAAAACAAATGAACAAATGAAACAGAAAAAGAATCGCAGATACAGAGAACAAATTAGTGGTTACCAGAAGGGAGGGAAGTGGAGGGAGAAGCAAAACAGGTGAGGGGATTGGAAGGAACAAACCACTAGATATAAAATAATTAAGTTACAAGGCTGTAATATACAGCACAGGGAACATAGGCAATATTTTACAATGACTTTGTATGGAGTATAATCTACAAAAAATCAAATTACTATGTTGCACACCTGAAACTAACATAATATTATAAATCAACTATACTTCAAGGAAAAAAAAAGATGTTAGTTCTTCCCAGCTTGATCTATAGATTCAATGCAATTCTAATTAAAGTCCCAGCCAAGGTGTTTTGTGGCTAATAACAGATTCTAAAGTTTATATGGAGAGGCAAAGACCCAGTATAGCACAATACTGAAGAAGAAAGTTGGAGAACTGACACTACCCAACTTCAAGACTTCCTGTAAAGCTACGCTAATCAAGACTGTGTGGTCTGGTGAAAGAACAGACAAAAAGATAAATGGAACAGAACAGAAAGCCCAGAAATAGATCCCCATGTATATATAGTCAACTGATCTTTGACCAAGGAGCAAAGTCAATACAACGGAGCAAAGACAGTCTCTTCAACAAATGGTGCTGGAACAACTGAACATCCACATACATAAAAGAAATCTAGAAACAGACCTTACATGCTTCACAAAAATCAACTTAAAATGGGTCACACATCTAAAGGTAATATGCAGAACTATAAATCCCCTAGAAGATAGCGTAGGAGAAATTTCAGATGACCTTAAGTTTAGCAGTGACTCTTAACATATATCACCAAAGGTACAATCCATGAAAAAAAGAATTGACAAGCTGGACTTTATTAAAATTAAAATTTTCTGTTCTATAAGCAGATACTGTTAAAAGAGAAAAAAGACAAGCCACAGACTGGAAAAAATATTTGCAAAAGACATATCTTATAAGGGACTGTGTTATCCAAAATATTCAAAGAACTCTTAAACTCAAAAATCAGAAAACAAACAGCCCATTAAAAAATGGGCCAAAGACTTTAACAGATATCTCACGAAAGAAAGTATATAGATGGCAAATAAGCATAAGAAAAAAATGCTCCACATCATATGTCATCAGGGAAATTAAAATTAAAACCAAGATTAGCTACCACTATATGCCTATTAGAATGGCCAAAATTTGGAACACTGATAACACCAAATCCTCGCAAGAATGTGGAGCAACAGGAACTCTATTCATTGCTGGTGGGAATGCAAAAGTGGAAGGCAGTTTAGAGGTTTCTTATAAAACTAAGCATACTCTAACCATACGCTCCAACAATCATGCTCTTTGGTATTTACCCAAAGATGTTCAAAAAACTTATGTCTGCACAAAAACCTACACATGGATATTTACAGCAGCTTTATTTATAGCTGGTAAAATTTGGAAGCAACCAAGATGTCCTTCAGTAGGTGAAGGGATAAATAAACTGTGGTGCATCCAAATAATGCTCTCACTCCTTTAATTAAGCCTTTGTATATACTATCTTCCCCCTCTAGAATACTCTTATCTCCTACTCTTCATCCTTTTCAACCTTGAAATATCTGCTTAAATGTCACCTCCTCCAGGAAGCCTTCCTAAATTCCCAAGTTCACAATGTGTGTTTCTTCTATCTTCTCTCAAGGTATCCTGTTCTTCCAAAATATAGCACTTATCATATCACTTTGTAAAAGTTTCCTTAATTCTCTGCCTCCACCAATACTCGCTAAATTTCAGGAGCACTTATTCATTGCTT